AACTATCACAAGGAGGACGCGACTACCTTCCCTCCGCGGTTCAAATACGGGACACAGACGTGCGCACGTGTAAACGCATGTAAAATAACGCGGATGAGTCGCGAGGGTGGAATATAAACACATTGTGTCGCGAAAGAAAAGAGGATTGCACAAAAGATGGTCTTGGTGAGTTTGGGACCATTCCTGTCTAGACTAAACGGGTGCACGACGAAAAACGCGTTACTCGAAAGCGTCTACATATTCGTTCTCCCCTCACGCATTTCTTCCCTTTTTACGTTTTTCCCTTTCTAGCTCCCCATCGAAGTCCTCCCGGCTCTTATTTGCCCTTCGTGAAATTAATCGTCGTCCAACTTACTTCCGGACGTTATTCTCCTATATCCTCTTTCGTAAATCGCTTTATAGATTTATTTATCACGTAATTAATCGCATGTTTATCTAGGGTGAGATCATAATACTCTCTAAGTGTATCCTAATGAACATTTGATGGGCTATCAGCCTGCGGCTTTCGTGCGTTTCGTGTGTGGATATCATTTCGGCGCCCCGCTTTATTTGCTAATGTAGGTACCATTTCATTTTCTGTAATTGGTGGTCATACAGGCAACATAATTTTATGTTCTATAACACGTGATGAAAGTTTCAAAACACGTAAAGTTTGAACATAAAGATATTTTGCCTTACGCCTTTTTTGGAGACAGCCTTCTTCGCATGTGTGCTTGCGAAAGTATCGGATAATATCTGTGTTAAAAGGACACAAGTGACAAAATTTCTCCCGTTTCTCGACGAGCGTAACGTAAGTCGGGAATGTCGTACCGGTCGTGCGGACATTACGTCACGCCGCCTCGCTCTCGCGGAGACTGCGCAAAATGGAATGGACACGCGATGTCAGCCCCTAGAAAATTTACGTGCGTTTACACCCGTGTTCCTGGACCACTCCTGGATTACATTCAGCACCTCTGCTCCGCTCACCATAATTCAATCCTCGACCAGGTCGGGACGTGCCCATGACAGGCCATGGGTCATTCGCAAACGTGGGGTCAGCAGAGAGAAACGACAGTATTAGCGCGCGCGCTCACATACACAGTCACATAATATATCTATATATGGAGATCACGAGCGGGGAGGAGGTATCGTTGCTTTTTACGAGCAACCAACTTCGGAACTGGGCCAACCGCGACCGTGCGCACCTCACATCCATGGAGGCGCGTGGGGTTCTGGGTCGAATGGAATCCTCGTAACTGATGCACGGGAGGAAAGTTGCATGGTGTGTGCGTACTACGTGTCTTCGATCGAAGAGGATCGTTGTGGATCCGCTTGCGTTCGGATGCCTCGCGAATTCATCGATACAATGTACATTCGCGAGTTAGGTCGGGGAAGGTATACGATATAGGTACGTGCCTCTTGCGCGGATGGGATAACGAATTGCCAGTTGTACTTCCGAAGATACATCTCCGTGATGTACAACCCGTCGTAGTACGGGAACTAGCGTTTCCCGACGTATACATACGATACTGGCGGTGTTTTCCTCACGTCTCCTTCCGGATCACCCAATTCCGCGGCAGTCTTCCTACCTCTCCTTGTTCCGACCCGCATACCTACCTACTCTACAATGGTAGGGGAAAATTTGCGCAGTGTCGTCCTAGGAGGGGTGGTTGTCGAAATAGCAGTGGTAGTCACGGTCAAGACGGTATTGTCGATCACCAATACAGTCGCGCGAACGATTTCATAGAAAACTCCTAAGGACTAACGTGAATGGAAATTACAAAGTACTATAACCAAGCAAAATCGAATGGAGCACAGGGAACGGAATTAATGGGAGAGCGGAACCGCGAGAGGGTTAACGGGAAGAGGGGATGCACAACGAGAGAACGGGGACGATGAGTAGGGGTGGTACCGGGACGGAGCCTGCACAGAGGTTGCTGTCGACGCCCTGCCGCTGCTTCCTGGTTTCCCTATATTGATTTTCCACCGCGCGCGTGAGCTGGAGAGAGACGGAATGGAGTCGAGAAACGTTTCCCCTCTGTGTGTGTGTGTGCGTGTGCGTTGTGTGTGTGTGTGTGTGTGTGTGTGTGTGTGTGTATTTGTGTGTTTGTGTGTGTGTGTGTGGTGTGTATCGCGCGTGAGCCCAGTGCTTGTGGATGCGTGGATGCGCGCGTGCGCCTGTGTGCGTGCACGCGCGCGCGAAACGACCCGAGAGAGGGAAACGGATTGATACCCAGGTGGGGTCCGGGGGGCCCGCATGCACAAGGAAGGAAGAGACACCAGGACCAGAGAGTTATACGGGCGGCGCGAAGGGGACGCGTTTGAGGAGAAGGTGGGGCCACCTTTTGCACCTCCGCCGGCCATGCCGGCGTGGAAAGATGGGCACGATTATTCGACATCAGGGGGTCCACCCCTTTCATTCCTCTCCGCTCTATTCGTACAATATATATACCTGGATATATCCGTCTCTTCTTTTTCCCTCTTTCCCATGCCACGCCACGTTTGACCAAATAAGTGTCACGGCCGTTTTCTTCCAGAACGGCGAAGGATGCGTTCCATTCGCGTTGCCGTAAATTTCAATGTTGGTCTAGGATGGACGAGACGTGTGAAGATTATCACATGCCAAAACAGATTTATTTATATCGCGTATCAAATAAGTTATTGCATATCATGCATGATTTTTAATTTATTTAGTAGTGATGACACTAATATGCGATATTACGTACGTTTACACAAATTATTCTAAACGTGCTGAAATGTAGCAAAAACAGAATCTTCCGAAGTTTAAAGTCAATCTTTTTTCTGAGATCTTTCTAATCTTGCGTTATCGAAAGTTCACATATTTATTTTCTAGCCTTGCGCATAGTTCGTAGATGTTTCATAGATATTTTCAGGGGACGGACATGTAGAAATATGAAACATTTATATCTACCAGACGTTTCAAGACGTTCCGTCCACTCGACGATGCTCCAAGGAGGAGCATTTATTTGCGCGAATAGACATTTCTCTTACATCGTGCCACCGCCCGTTATTTTTCGTTACATTGGCCGTTCTTCTCAATTGGTCACCTTCAAAGGATCTCGGTTCTCTTTCGTTATCATGTCTTGCCCATTTCTTGTCCCCATAACTCCTTGTCTGTTTCTTTTACGAGGTACTACATGCACAAGAAGAAATCAGGGCAAAGAAATCGCTGTGCTAGGAAGACGTACTCGTTTGGATTACTTTTGACAAGCATTTTTCAAGCAACATGGAAAAAGTGTTTTACACTAATCTTAAAATGATTTGATCATTCACTATTCAAGCTAAACTCAGTAAATATATATATATTTACTATATATATGTATATATATATATATAAATCGAAATTATATATTTTATTCCTAATATTCAATATCATTGTATTATTATCTAACATAACAATTTTCATCATATTTTAAATAATTTATGAATATTCAAGATATAATTTATATTAAATATAATCTTTCACTGTTAGTAGCGTCGTTGAAAATTGCTATCGCGAATGATTAAATGGTACCTTGATGATTCATAATTTACTTGAATCTGTATAATGACGCGTATATCAATCAAGATTTACAGACCATGCTGGATATAATATATTAATCTGATCGCAAAAATTATTAAAATTAGGGAACTGACCCTTTTTATCAAACTTTTTTTTTATCGAACCTTCCACGCGAGGAAGTCGACAATTCCGTGGCGTGACGTTCGAAAAAAAGGCCGTGTCGGGCTTTATCAAACTTTCGCTGGGAACATGGCTACTCGACTTCACGATAGCCGAAATAAAGGAAGGAAAACGGATATGCATTAAGGGTGTGGCGACGGCGGGATGGAGACTTTTGAATACATCCCCGTTTTAACTGCACTCCCCGATTCGTTACAAGTGGTCTATTACAGGTCTTTCTCTAGCCCGTCTTTTATCCCTGCACTTTCTTTTCTGCTGCTCGCGGGGGTGGCATGCTTCTTTCTGGCAGATACTTCCACCACCGGGAACGTTACTTCTCTTATCGTTTTTCAAGTTCTTCGCTTCACTTGTCCTCCTTCCCGGGAGCGCTGCTGGTTGCGGTATTCCATCCAGTACATTCGCTCACCGCTAGAAAGCTTTTTCCTAACCAGAAGTAAGCATCTTATCTCTCGAAATGGCTCGCGACGGAAATTGAAAAATCCAAAATTCATGGAGTTTTATGCACAACTTTTTATACGTATATTATAGCGAGAACATCCTCAATTCTTGTCTCGGCTAAGACAATCATTGTAATGGAGACTCACGAGCATCATCCGCTCGAAATTAAGTGAAGTAGGTAAACATTTCGCCACCAACGCATTTCGAAATTAAAATTTTCAGACTTGAGAAGAATCAAATTCTAGATTTAGATACCGCGTACTTAGATGTGTAATTGTAAAATATTTTATGAACTATATTATAACTTGTAACATCATATTTCTTACCTACTTGATAATTACTTTGAATATCGATGTTTAAAAAATAGCGTGTTCTCGTAAAACATAATGCAATAATAATGAAGTTATTATAGAAGTAGGTTTGCTATCCATTCTCTTTTCTCTGGACTTCTTTTTTAGGGCATCCGAGGGAAGTTTTCTCGAAGGCATACGGAATAATTATAAGCGTCCGGGGTTTGAAAAAATCTTCTAAATATGTTGCTTTGATTCTTCTCGCGCTATCTTGTATTAATTCCAATCTATAATACAATAAACGTTGTAAGCCTTCCATAAGAAATTGACCAATCATAGTCGAATGTGAGAAGAATAATCGATTGAGAAATTTCTTACGTTACTACTAATGAGCAATTAGAATGAAATAATTATTCATTGACTGTTTTGATTAATTTTACTAACCTACATGCATTTTTGTATGCATCCGGGGTTGTAAGCAAAATGCCCAGTGCTTTCTTTATTTGTAAGTTCTAGTTTTGAAATTTTTTATATAGCATAATCCTATATAGCCATTACGAATATAAGATTGATATCTCGATATTTTCTAGGATCGTATGACGGCTAATGGAAACTCACCGTTAGACAACATGAGGACTTTGGAACACTATCTGAGCGACATCATGCGAGCCGGTGCAGCGGACACCCCAGAACATCTGAAAGGTATGTCTCATATCTTTATAAGCTGTATGCAATTGAGATGATGTACAACGAGTGTATGCAATATCTACGAAAGTAGATCTACACGCGGTCCGCGTGTTAACACCAGTTAAGCCAGAAACGTGGAAAATCCTCCTTAAAGTCTTGCGTCGTAATTGCAGAGAGCTTTATTCTCTTTCGCGTTTACAACAGCTGAGAATGCATTAACAATTCCATGAAATATCTTACGAGAGCGTTATACTCTCACAAAGCTCCTATCTGCTTTATCCTCGAATCTGCAACTCGAATTTAATATGTCAAATACAACATGGATAATTAAATTTTAACTACTTAGAAAAAGAACGAAGAAAAATACTAATAATAATTTTAAGAGGCGGATGTAGATTTATTAACTATACAATAATATTAATTTGTAAATAATACACGTTAATCGCTTACTATTATACAGGGTGTTTCCAAATTAAATGGCAAAACTTCGGGAGCGTGTAGAGGAGTAAAAAACTAAGAAAAAAAGTCCTATAGAC